CAACTGTCTATAGGTGTGTGGTCTTGGATCCCTCTCCTACCTATGCTGGGATTTTGACTAGTTTGACCTTTTGCAAATTTTCTGTAATACCAATTGTTGCTGTCAATGCTTGTGCATTGTAGTTTACTTATGTACAAAAATCAGCATTTCCGGGCTGGAGAGATGGCTCAGTGGTTAAGAGCACTGCCTGCTCTTCCAAAGGTCCTGAGTTCAATTCCCAGCAACCACATGGTGGCTCACAACCATCTGAAATGGGATCTGATTCCCTCTTCTGGCCTGCAGGCAGACACACAGATAGAATATTGTACACATAATAAATAAATAAAATATTTTTAAAAAAATCAGCATTTCCAAGCTCTCTCTCTCATCAGCTCTTACATCCATTCTACTTCCTCTTTCTCCAAGTTCCTGGAGCCTTGGATGGTAGAAAGCTGAGAGGAGATAATGGTGGATAGATATATATTATATAGATGTATGGAAATTTCAAAGTATAAAAGTGTTATTAAAACTAATTTCAGAAAACATATACTTCTTTCAAAAGCAGCATATTTGGCATAAAGCATATAAAAAAGTATCACTAAAATAACTATAAAAATATGTGAGCCATGTATCTTTGATTCATCAATGCAAGTTTTGTGTAAGTCTCTTCCAAACTTCCTCTACATTCTACCACAGAGCCTTCCGGTTTCAATACCTGTGACTAAGAGGCAATAGTTTCTGCATTTGTTCTAAATTTAAAGCAGTTTCCAGAAAATAAAAGGCTACTGTTTGGAGTGATGTAGAAACCGTGACCCAGTGATCCCTAGATCAAGTGTTTGCATTTCATGATATATTCCGTCATGTGTTGGGACGGAAATTAACTGGTGGTCATTGTTTAGCTCCTTGTGTTTATATCATAAAACACATCACAGTTGGGGTTGGCTGGCAATCTCAGCAAGGATAAGAAAACAAACATGAAACCGTTTTAATGAATGGGCCTCTTCTCATACTTTGCCTGGTAGCAGTTTCTTTGATGGTGGTGTTTAGCAAACATAGGTTGACACAGTGTTAGGATATACTAAAGATTTTTCTATATGCTCTATAAGGGAAAGTAAAAAGACAATTATCTTAATCAAAATTAATCTAAACAATGCTTATTGTCGCTTTGGAAATAGTTAATGAGTATAAATTCTTTATTTTCTGATTTGTTTTACAATTATTGCTTTCTCCTGAAGAACGTAGACTCTGACCACAACAGAAAGACAGTGATTTCTTCCTCTAGAAAGCAACAAGCCCCCACTAATGGGGGGGAGGCAATTGTTTTTGTATACCAACAAAGGTGAATGTGAATTGTGCATGCTCACATATGAGCATGTGCAAAGATGCTACCCCCGCCTTCTGGACTCTAGACAGTCTTTCTTGGCGCACTGCATTGCCATGCTCTTGAACATCCCTTTAGACTCCAAGGACTACTGACTGTCTTTCTCTGAGCCTAGACCATGCTGCTTTTTTCCTGGACTAGAAACTAATGATTAACTGTCTTTCAAGGTTGCTGTTGCCATTTTAAAAAGGAAATTGGCTCCCTTAAATGTTCTCTAGTTTCCCTTATGCACAGAGAATGTGCCTTCATAATTCCATGGGATAGAAATACTGTTATTATCACTCAAGGGATCCAAAAACATTGAGGATCTTTAGTTATAAACTGTATTACCATCTGAGTCACACACTTGAACACTGTACTTAACTTCAGCTCAGTGCAATTCACATAAAAATCTTATAAGTCATTACCAAACATTTCAGACTTTCTTTTTAAAGCAGCATCAACAAAACCAAAGGAAACTGGTCTCCAGGCCACCTGCAAAATGTTAATACAGATTAAATCATATAATACCAAGAGGATGTTTCCATAGCCATCTCTTTTAAATTGCTATTAACCAAGGCACATGAAATTCTTGTCACATTCACCTAGCTTTAAAGATGCAAACACTAGAGATGAAAATGCTCTTGCAAGTGATTTGGCTTTCAGCTCCATGGATCAGAATTATCTATCTTTCACAAGCAACTGGAACATTAGACAAAATAGGTTTTTTTTATTCTTTGCTCCTTATTTATTTATTTTTTGGGTGGGGGTGCCACTCAACTTCCAAATAAATCCACATACATGGAGGCTTATTCTTGCTTATAAATGCCCAGCCTCAGCTTGGTTTGTTTCTAATCAGCTTTTCTTAACTTAAATTATCTCAACTGCTCTTTGCCTCTGGGATTTTTTTCTTCTCTTATTTCGGTACCTTTTACTTTCACTCTTACTCCATGCCTGGCTGGGTGGCTGGCCCCTGACACTCCCCTCTCCTTGTTCTAACTCATTCTCCCTTTCCAGATATCTCCTACTATTTATACTCTCTTCCTGCCAACCCCTCCATCCTTTCTTCTGCCTCGCTACCGGCCGTTCAGCTCTTTATTTGACCACCAGGTGTTTTAGACAGCCAAAGAATCACAGCTTCAGAGAGTTAAACAAATGCAGCATAAACAAAAGCAGCACATCTTTACATTTTTAAACAAATGGTCCACTGCATAAACAAATGTAACACACATTAAAATAATATTCTACAACAAAAAAAACCAGGTGAGATAACGGTGTCTGGGATTTGGAACACGGCAATAATTTCTAAGAAGAGGAACAAAGCCAAGGGGATCCCATCATTGTTCCCACCCTGCTGACCACACATTCTGCTGACTCCCATGCTGCGGACTAGAGAGTAGAGTGTTCAGGTTCTGGTGAATGGAGGAAGAACTGAGAAAGGGACAGGGGATTCCACTGGAGATTCAGAGTTCAGGATTTGGAAAAGACGGATTCCAGAGCTACGGATCCAGCCTCCTTTAGCTGGAAAGAATGATGTGCTGGTTAGTTCCTTATTTGTTTTTTTTTGGTCAGCTTGATGCAATCTAAGGACATCTGGGAAGAGGAAACCTCAACGGAGGAAATGGCTCCATCACGTTTGTACGTAAGTCTGCGGGGCCACTTTTTTGTTTAATGACTGATTTGAGAGGGTTCAGTCCACTGTTAGGGGGGAGGGCACCACCCTTTGACCCTTTGGCAGGTGATCCTGAGTTGCATAAGAAAGCAAACTGAGCAAAGCTAAACAAGCCATTTCCTTCCCCAAGTTAGTTTTGGTTGGTGTTACATTAAAATCAATAGAAAGCAAATAAGAGATGACAGTAAACTCAAACACTGATTTAAAGAATACTATTTAATGTAATGTTTAAACTCAGATCTGGAAGGTAGAGAGATGGCTTAGTGGTGAAGAGCACTTTCTTTTCTTTCAGATGATCCAAGTTTGATATCTAACAGTCTTGATGGTTTGCTCACAACTACCTGTAACTCCAGAGCCAGGGCATTCAAAGCCTGTTTCTGGCCTTATTGGGAAACTGTACCATCATGGTGTCTCATAAATTTGTAATTCTAGTCTCTGGGGCATTCTATGCTCTCTCTGACTTTCTTAGGCACCAGGCACACATGTGGTATACCAACATGCATGCAGACAAAAGAACTATGCATATTAAAATACATTAAATTTTAACAAATCAGAAATATTATAATATACTCTGACTCCACATGTCTAAAATTTGGCTATGTTCATTTTTCATTAATCCTAGACCTGTCAAAACTTTTTAATTTTTATAAAACTCTCTGCCCAGTTTTGCTTCTTTCTTCATTAGTACTTTTTGTGTCTGTTTTCAGTTTTTGTAATAGTCGTTGTCTATCTCAACTTTACAAAGATTCTCTCCTGTGTTTTCTTCTAGGGGTTTTCTTTTTTTCATGTATAAAGTTAGATGTATTAGACCACCAGTTAAGTTTTATGCCTGGAATGAGGCAGGAGGACAAGATAGATATTCTGTAGTTTCTTTTGAGGAAACGACGATGTTTCTTGAACAAATTATGTCAGAGGTTCTGTTAAAAGTTGCTTGACTGTGTGTAGGGGCTTTGGACTCTGTATCATGATATATTTTCTACCTTTATAAATTTTTAATATTGTTTTGACAGAAATCAGATGATGTTATCACTTTACTTTTCTCAATTTCAAAATTATTTTTACTATTTTAAACCTTTTGGGGGTATAGAAGAGTTAGAAAAATGTTAATTTCTGTTATAATTTTGTACAGGATAATTTAGGGAGAATGGACATATCAATAAATAGGTTTCTGGTTATGAACATAATATAAGAACCTTATATTTCTCTTTGGTTAATTGGGCTTAGGTGTTCTTAGATTTCTTTCAGTGATATTTTGTCATTTTAGTATGTAGAGTTTATAAAATGAGCCTATTCTTAAAAATATCATTTTTGATGGCTTACAAATGATCTTTATCTTTTAAATATTTTCTTTTAAAATTAGTTGGTTGTGTGTAGGCATAAAAGTTATTTTCTGCATATTGAACTTTTATCCCATTAGATAACTCATTTAATTTTTTCCTTGTATTTTGGGTTAGGGTTTCTTTGTGTAGTCCTAGCTGTCCTGGTACTAGCTGTCCTTGGATTCACTCTGTAGTCCAGGCAGGTTGACCTCGAACTCACAGAGATCTGCCTGCCTCTGCCCCCAGAGTGCTGGGATTAAAGGGACAAGCCATCACTGTCCCAGCTAAATAAATTAATTGATTAATGCAGCAATTTTGTGTATATATATATATATATATATAGTGATCACATAATCTGAAAACAAAGGCACTTTTACCTCTGCACTTATCCTTTTAAATATTTATGTTTTCTGTCTATCTCCCTTTTCCCCTCTCTTTATCCCTTTCTTCCTACTTCAGTCTCTTCAATTGCTTCTTTCCAACTGCAATATTCAGGATCTTTTACTTCTGTTACATTGTGTAGATGGACATTTCTGTCTCTCCTGGTCCTGTAGCCATTCAGTCTCAAAGAAACACACAGAGGCTTATATTAATTATCAACTGTTTGGCCTATTAGGTCAGGCTTATTACTAATAAGCTCTTACAACTTAAATGAACCCATAATACTTACCTATGTTTAGCTACGTGGATTAGTTCCTTTTCCCAGTGCAATATTTTCATCTTGCTTCCTTTCTGTCTGGGTAGTAACTGAAGACTGAGATTTTTTTTTAAGATTTCTGTCTCTTCCCCGCCACCGCCTCCCATATCCCTCCTTCTCCCCCAATCAACTCCCCCTCTTTCATCAGCCCGAAGAACAGATCGGGTTCCCTGCCCTGTGGGGAGTCCAAGGACCTCCCACCTCCATCCAGGTCTAGTAAGGTGAACATCCAAACAGCCTAGGCTCCCACAAAGCCAGTATGTGCAGTAGGATCAAAACCCAGTGCCATTGTTCTTGACTTCTCAGCAGTCCTCATTGTCAGCTATGTTCAGTGAGTCCGGTTTTATCCCATGCTGAGCTTTACCTCTTCCCAGCCTTATCTATACTTTCTGTCTGACTACTGGCCAATCAGCATTTTATTAAACCAATACAAGTGACAAATCTTTACAGGGTATAAGAGCATTATCTCACAGCAACATTGCATATGCTGTGCAATTCATTGTTCTGTTTTATTACAACCACCCATCCCTTCCCTTCTTCTCTTTCTTTCTCTTTTCTTCTCCCCTTTCTTTCTCTTCCCTTCCCTTTCCTTCTCTTCACTTCTTCCCTTCCCTTCTCCCCTCCCCTCTCCTTCCTCCCCTTTCCTTCCTTTCCCATTTCTTCCCTTTCTAGAACATACTTTTCTGAAGATATATATATTCTTTCAGATCTCTGTTTGCTAAACATATGGACCATCTGGAGTATGTTTTTTAAAATGGCTTTTTTAAAAAAACTGAATATGACTCACATTTTCACGTTTTTGTACAGATATGAATATATAGCAATCCTTTTAGATAATGCATTACAAAGCCTCTGAAGATTACTGGGTTTATTTGAAAACTATTTGTATGTCGTTCTGTTATCCCTATCTTCTATAACTTTAGCCTTAGGTATAGTTTTTGTTAGGGAGATGTCTGGACAACCAAAGCATTTTCCAGACCTTGTAATTTGATGGAACTGAACTTCTGAACTCTATCTTCTTGTAGATTTTGTTAAGCTCCTGCATCTGGCTTTGCTGTCTGTGTCTTGAATCAGGCATCACTCTTTGAAAAGCAGTGTTTCTTTTCTGGAGACTATCCAAGGTATTAACATTTAAACAAGTGAGACTTAGTCACTAATGTTATACCTTTTACCTTATAGCACCTGTATGCTGTATGGCATCTTACTTGGCCATACAGAGCACAGTCCTTAGCTACACGTTCATGAGGAGCCTGGTTCAAACTCTTTGAGTCTCATCTCCATGTGATCTATTCTGGAGTCTTTTTAATCATATATTTCATGCACTTTATGTGTCTCCACTTTGATTATTTAGTGAAGAAAAATTCTGAATATCATGAAGTGAACTTTAGTCCAAACAGAAATCCATCTTCACCAGGGGGCTAGACAGCTGGCTGGGTCTGAGGCTCCGAAGCTCTTTTGATCAGGATCTTGCACTGTGTGTGGACAGTCTCCGAACATAGTTGCTGTATAGGCTTATTCATTACAGGAGCACTGTTTAGAGCCAATTATTCTTTCGCTGTTAGAAATCATGGTGCTAGTTAAGTGAAAGAGCCCTTTTTCATATACTGACCATAGTGGTTTTTAAATTTCTCCAGTACTGTATTCCTTACCTCAAACTTTGTTTGCAATACTATCTGTAAATCTTAATGAAGTACAATATAAAAATAGATACGTATATATGTGTGATGATCATATCAAGGCTATAGGGTTTCTGTTTCCTCAAACTTAAATCATTTTTATGTATTGGGAACGTTCGTATTCTTTAGTCATTTTGAAGTATACAGGTGCTGTGGTCAATAGTTACCGTATTGTGTCATGAAAAACAAGAGCTAATCCTTTGTTGCCACCTCTGCTTTGGGGCCTCTTACCTTACTTCTTCCAATTCTTCTACCTCCCTGTCTTTGATAGCATCTATTATCTCATTCTTTTCTTCTTTGAGGCCAACTACCTATTTCCAGAGTCAAGTGAGGATCTGTATTGTTTGCTTTACAATGTCTTCTGACTTGTTTCCCTAAACAATGGCTTCCATTTCTATCCATGTTGCTGACAATGTCAGAATTTTGTATTTTCACGGTAGAATAATATTTGATTTTGCATATATGCTGGACTTTCCCTGTTTATCATTCATTGATGAATACCTTGTTTGATTCTGTGGGTTATGCATTATGAATGATACTGTCATAGATATAGGAGTGTATGTAACATTTTAATGAGTACATCTCATTTGATCATATATATAGCAGTACAATAGTTATCTTTCCATTTCTATATTTTCTTTCTTCTTTTTTTCTTTCTTTTTTTATTGCTTGTCTGTTTGTTTTTCCAAGAAAAGGCTTCTCTGTAGCTTTGGAGCCTGTCTTGGAACTTACTCTATAGCCCGAGCTGGCCTCAAACTCACAGATTTCTGCCTGTTTCTGCCTCACAAGTGTTGGGATTAAAGGTGTGCACCACTACTACCAGCAGCTATTGCCCATTTCTCATTGGTAAGATTTACAATAATGTATTAAACAGGTGAAAATAAGTTCTTAAAATGGATACATAGGTTTTAGATTGGAGATATGATTTTTAAACACACATCATTCCTGTGTATCATTAAAAGCCAAAATATGAGTAAAATGTACTGGCAAAGGTTTGGAAGTTCGGAGTCTCATATATTACTTCTAAGCTGCCTATGCATGTGTATTCCCACACAGAAGTACCTTCTGTGACATGCAGAGCACATATGATAGCACATTCCTCAAAAGAGCAATGTGCTATTGATTCTGCAATCCATTTTCAAGTTGCTGTCACTTCTGAATTTTGATGTAGGTACCTCAGGGGGACAAATGTGCAGACAGTGTCATTGTGCTCTGACCACCATCTGGTACACTGCAATTACAAGATGTCAGGGACCTTAAAGATGCATTCAAAATTTCAAAAATGATATTAAAATGTTGTGGGACTGTTCACCTTAGAATAATACAGCATTTGGTTTTTTAAACTTGATTTGCTAAAAATTAGAAATCAGTTATTAAATAAAAAAGATTTCTCTACAAACTCACTGGCATCTTTGGGGATTTTTTTCCTTATAAAGATACATCACAGCTTTTCCTATTTTAATTTTTGTGATGATTTGAATAGATATGGTCACCATAGACTCATGTATTTGAATTCTTGGCCCATAGGGACTGGAACACTATTAAGAAGTGTGTCCTTGATGGAGTAGGTGTGACGTTTTCAGAGGTTTGTTTTTGTTGGAGTAGGTGTGACCTTGTTAGAGGAAGTGTGTCACTGTGAGGTGAGCTTTGAGTTCATATATGCTCAAGTCACACCCAGTGTATCAGTTCATTCTCTGTTGTCTGAAAATTAAGATGTAGATCTCCAGCTCCTTCTTCAGCACTCTCCCTTTCTGCATGGTGCTGTAAGCCAGTACCAATTAATGCTTTCCTTTAGAAGATTTGCTGTGATCATGCTGTCTCTTCAAAGCAATAGAAACCCTAACTAAGACAGAAGTTGGTGTGGTCCAGTATTTCTTCACTATCCTCCCTTTCCTCCATTTTGGAATGGTAATGTATATTCTGTGCCATTATATGTTTGAAGTATGTGATCTACTTTTTAAATTTTGATTTTAGATGGGATTACAGTTAGGCTATTGCATGAATCTCAGAAGAGACTTTGAACTTTGGACTATTAAACATTGTTGAGACTCTGAGAGATTGCAGGAACTTTGAAATTGGACTAACTGTGGTGGTTTGAGTAGCTTTGGCCCCTTGTTTGACTCATCTGTTTGGATGCTTGGACCATGGGGACTGGCACTCTTAGGAGGTGGGTCCTTGTTGGAGGAGGTGTGACACTGTGGAGGCGGATTTTGAGGTTATAAATGCTCAAGCCATTCCCAGTGTATCAGTTCACTCATTGCTGCCTGCAGATCATTTTGCATAACTCTCATCTACTTCTCCAGCACCATATGTGCCTAAAGGTTACTATATTTCCTGCCATGATGATAATGGACTAAACCTCCAAAACTGGAAACCAGCACCAATTATTTTCCCTTGTAAGAGTTGTCATGATCATGGTGTCTCTTCACAGCAAGAGATACCCTAATACAGTTTTGTTTTTTTAATTTTATCCTATTATTTTTATTTTATTCCTATATTTTCCTTTCCTCTTTTTACCATACACATCCTTTGCATATATATTATGACTTCCAGTTTAGTGTTCTATAGGATTCTTGAGTGTGCAAACAAGTTCATCTCTTTTCCTTGTGTCTTCTCTTGGGCTCTTTTCATTCAGTTTGTTTGTTTTTCCCAATTCTCATGTGTTAAGTTTGCTTTTTTTATCATGTTGTATTGTATTACATTGAATTATTATCCCTTAGGAGCCTGCTTGTTTCCTAATTGGAGACAGAAGGGAGTTGGATCTGGCTGAGAGAGGGGGTGGGGAGGAACTGGGATGAGTAGAGAAAGGGGAAACTATAAACAGGATATATTATATGAGAAAAATATCTATTTTCAAAAGAAAGAGATAAGGGAAAAGAGACAGCTAAAAAATAGATAATGAGGTATTACTTCATATATGCAAAAATAAATCTTTATATCTACTAGAAAGGCATATAGCGCCAAATAAAATTGGGTTGGGAGATCCAGGACCATCTGTCCTCTGAGCACAGGTACTTCCTGAACTCCCAACCTATGATTAGGTCAGTTATGGCCAATGAACTCATTATAAGTTCAAAATATAGTATGTTGAAGCTGTCTTTAATCTTCCTGACCAACACAACCACCACAGTTTAGATTAGCTCACTCTGCATGTGCTCAGAATGTTTAGCTAGTATAGTAATAAAAATCACTTAACACAAAGCCCATTTCATAACAAAATGTTCAATGTCTCATTTGATTTAATAGATTTATCACTGAAAGTAAAAAGGATTTCTTTTCATATGATAGAGATTGTATTTCATATAAGTCCAGAATATATCTCTTAATATTTAATACAGTATTTAATTTAATCATTTGCAGTTTTATTAATTTTAGTTAATAGGAAATAAATGTTAACTATTAGTGTCAATACAAAAAATAGACAAAAAAGGTCCCTTTTATTTACAAATGTCTATTTTCTGACAAGATTTCAGGAGGAGTTGAATTCTTAGGTTGGGTATCAATGGCTACCTTCTTCGTGGTGTTTTTTAATAAGTGTGTTGGCATTGTTCTGTGGGCTTTCAGTAGAACTTTTTTGACCACTTGAATTGAAGTGATTACAGGTTTTTCAACTCTATCAGTAAATTGCACTGGCATGTTCAGGGATCATTGACAAGTCCAGGAACAAGCTGACACACTGACAGCTCTTCAGGAACATGATCACTTTTGCTTCTGCAAGTCCAAGTTTCATCATATTGAAAGTCAGGGTTATTTGAACCCAACATGATTAACCCAGCTCTTGCTATTAATTCAGTTACGTGCTTTCATTAAGTTGAACAGAATTTGATGAAATAAAACTTTCACAGAATAATCTTCCCTTACCCACTCTTTTCCTTCCTTCCTTCCCTCCCTCCCTCCCTCCCTCCCTCCCTCCCTCCCTCCCTCCCTCCCTCCCTCCTTCCTCCTTTGTTCCCTCCCTCCCTTCCCCCTACCCTCCTTCCCTCCTTCTCTCTGTCTGCCTTTCTTTCTATCTTTTTTTTTCTTACTGGGAGGCCTTGAATGCAGTCCTTCCACTAGCACAAATTATATAGTTGAGTTTCCCACGTCAACCATATGTCAGCATATTCTGGAATACAATGGGTAAGCCTTGGTCTGGGAAAATTACCTACATAATCATATCTCCTCTGCCTGTTTAGTATTAGAATAATTTTCTTATAAAAATTAAGTCAAAGGGCTGGAGAGATGTCTCACTTGTTATGAACACAAAATGCCCTTCCAGAGGACTGGAGTTTGGTTCCTAGCATCCTTATTAGATGGTTAACAACCACCTGTAATTCTGGATCCAGGGAATCCAATGCCCACTTTGAGGTTCTTTGGGTACTCCCTTATATGTGTACATATGTACACACATGTACATATAATAAAAATATTTAAAAATTAAGATTTATCAAAAGAATTAGCATGATTTAAAAATTGAATATTGTCAAAGTCCAAGTGTGCTATTCTGCGGATGTCTGGGTTTCAAAAATCGTCATCTGTGGAAGCTTAACAATCAGCATGATTCTGTTAAGAAATGGAGCTTCAGAGAGGGGATTTGACCATGGTGTGGTGTGAGACAATGGTCTGTATTATGTCAATCATATTTTAAATAAACGCTGATTGTCCAGTAGCCAGACAGGAAGTATAGGTGGGACAACCAGACAGGAAGTAGATGCGGGTCAATGAGAACAGGAGAATTCTGGGAAGAAGGAAGTCCTAGTTGGCAGTCCTGACCCAGTCACAGAAGAAGCAAGATGTGACTGCCTCACCGAATAAGGTACTGAGTCACACGGCTAGCATAGACAAGAATAATGGGCTAATATAAGAGTTAATAAGAAGCCTGAGTTAATGGGTCAATCAGTTTATAACTAATGTAGACCTCTGTGTGATTTCTTTGGGACTTAATGATTGCGGGAAATGGGCAGGACAGAAATCCCAGTCAACAATGGTGGAGGAAATGATTGTTCAGTATTTTATTAAAAGGAAAAGGTCCTAAAAGTTAACTTATTTCTCCCGTATTGACATACAGATAGAAGATGCCATCTATGAATCTGGAAGTGGACACACACTAGACACAGAGCTTCCCAGTTCTTTTGCCTTGGGCTTATCATCCCTCAGAACCATGCAAAATAAATATCTATTACTTATAAACTATACGTGCAAAAGACAAGATCTCCTGAGTAAATTGGGAGCATGGGGACCTTGGGAGAGGGTTGAAGGGGAGAGGAGAGGCAGGGAGGGGAGCAGAGAAAAATGTAGAGTTCAATAAAAAAATAAACTATACGTGTTATATAATTTTATTGTTTGTAAGAAACTGTGAGTCAATGTCTACAGATTTGAGATCTATGAGACGCAGAAAGAATCCTGGACTTACACTGACTTTTAGTAGTCTTCAGTCTGTCCCCTCTGGTTCAAAGGGGGCCATCCCTACAGGTGAGTGGTTGTAGAAAGATGAATGAAAGCCCAGTCAGGGGGAACAAGCTCAGAGAAAAAGCCTTTACCCTACATGTAAATTCATTTATGAAGATGTATATTTTGGTTGAAAAAAGCACTTAGTGTTTTTATGTTTGAATGAGTCGAATTTCTAATCCACTGACATTTTGGTGACCTTCCTTGATTACATTGAATAAGAGAGTTGCTGTCATACTATTAAAATAGTAGAATGCTTTGAAAATCATGTATATTTATTTCTATAATTTTTTTGTTTTTTGAAATTGTGATTATATAATTTTCTCCCTTTCCTCTTCTCCTTCCAATTATTTCTATACATTTTGCTTGCTCTCTCTCAACATAGTCTCTTTTTTAAATGACTGATATATATATGTATATATGCTATGTAACACATATGTTTTATATATATGCCTAAATACATACTACATATACATGAATATTGAAATACATAAATACAACTTTCTCAGTTAATATAAAATAAGTAGAAACAAAAAGAAAACAAAGAACATACTTATGGTCAATACCACACCAATGGTGAAGATGGGACATACACAGCCATGCAATCCAGAGGACCTCAAGCCTACCTGTCCCCATTAACTTCCTGTGTGAGCTTAGAGCAAACATTCATATTGATTCAAGTCAATTTCTGTTTTTTAAATTTGTAAATAAGAAATTTATGCCAGATACCTTAGATGTCTTTTTATCCCTGAAAAAAAAATTAGCTTCTGTGGCATAGTTTGCTGCTGTGTAAGTCCAGTTCTAGAATTTTCAAGAGTACTCCAATGAGACAAATCCATACCAAGACCAGGTATGAAAATGCATCTAATCTTTAAATTATTACTGCCTCTCACTTCCTACAGCATTGGTAAATGGAGACAATCTTTTTGTAAGATATAACATTTCTCCTTGATTATTTCACACCTTTTTAAAGTTTCAAAATCTTTTTTTCAAGAGCACAAAATTTAAGATTTGTATCTCTGTGTGTGTGGTGTGTGCATGTATGCACAGGTGCCCATAACTGTGTGCAGAGTTTTGAGGAGGGTGTCTGGTGTCCTCATCTATCACTCTTGACTTTATTCCTTGAAGCAGGGTTTCTTCCTGAATCTGGAGCTTGAATTTGGCTATGCATATGGCAGCCAGCAAGCTGCAGCTATCCACTTCTCTTGGATTTCCTCAGTGCTAGGATTGCAGGTGCCTATGAGACCACGCCCAGCACATATTACAAGGATACTGGGATTGCAGGTGCCTATGAGGCCACGCCCAGCTTGTTACAAGGATGTTGGGATTGTAGGTGCCCATGAGACCATGCCCATCTTATTACAAGGATGCTAGGATTGCAGGTGCCTATGGGACCATGCCCATCTTATTATAAGGATGCTGGGATTGCAGGTTCCTATGAGACCATGCCTGCTGTATTACAAGGCTGCTGGGATTGCAAGTCTTCATGGATGTATATCAAGAGCTATAATCCATGAAGCAATATCTCTAACCCCTTCAAATTTTCTTCAAGATAAAGAAGGTGGGGTGTTACATGTGACAAAGCTGAGATATATTTAAAAGGTTCTAAAACAGATGAATCCTATGTAGGAATGTTGGCATTGATCTCTATTCTCTCTTTAAATCTTTCTCATACTAGAATACATTTCAAACTTCCCGTTAGATGTCTTGTCACTAATGTCACTCAAGTACTTGATAGCTCAATCTCAACATGCTTACACCCTATTCATTTTATTGTCCCACTGATATTCCCTGGTTTTAATAATGCTTAGTTTTGGATAGACATCTATCCCAGTGGCATGATTGTGTAATGCACTGATATGTAACCTTACAACCGTCTCTGTGCTGGCCAGTTAAGCTTACTCCGACAAAAGAAAAAAAACATCTGGGTTGTCAACTACATAGACTTAACCAGCTACTTCTCACAGAAAGTATAAATACTAACATATTACAAAGCTGAGAGTTCCATAGACCTTGCCAACACTACCTCACTGAGCTGGCAGGAACAGTGACTTCTGTTCACCTTCAAACCGTTATGTCTGAGCTCAGAGCCCTGTGTTTTACAAAGGTTTTATCTTCACTGTACCAGTGCTCTGCCCAGCTCTTATAACAGGGGAGAGAGTGTTGAAATAGGAGCGGCGGGGCTGCGTCCCCAGCACCCTGGCTGCCTGCTAGCTTATGCACTGAAATAATTACCCGGACACTGTATTCCTTTAAACACTGCTTGCCCATTATATCTAGCCTCTTCTCGGCTAACTCTTGCACGTGGACTAGCCCATTTCTAATAATGTTTGTAAGCACCTCAAGGTGCGCTTACCTGGAAGATTCTAGCCTATGTCCATCCTGGGTCGGAGCTTCTTCACATGTGTCTCTGAGCGCAGAGCTATCTCGTCTACCCGGGAAAGCTGAGCATGGCGTCTCTGCTCCAGAGCAGAGCTGTTGAGTCTGAGCTCACTTCCTCTTCCTCCCAGCATCCTGTTCTGTTTACTCCTCCCACCTATGTTTTAACCTATCAGGGCAAGCAGTTTCTTTATTTAATTAACCAATGACCTTCCTCCATCAAGAGAGTCTATGCTGGGTCCCACTGGCATCCCAAGAAGACGTAAGAAGAAACTCTATGCTTGGGTCGTGTGTGTCGTTGTTTAATCAGAACTTTAACATGCAGTATTTCATTTGGTTAGCTTTACAAAGTGTTTTGCATGTCATTTGCTATTGGACAATATATCAAATGCTAGATATTTTTATAGGACTGTATGAGTTTGAATGTGTTGTGTTTTTGTATGTACAAGAGAAGCAAACCCTGATTAAAATAAATTATAGTAATTTATTTTCTCACCATATATGTTTATATATGATGTCTTTTGTAATATATATTAATAATTACATATATATATACACACACGTATAAAACTGAACACTCCAATATTACCAGTCTTGAACATATGGAACAGTGCCTATTTTCTCATAATTTTTATTTGAATTAGGTCATGGAATTTATAATTAATTTCCAATCAATTTTTGGCAATGTTTGTTGCTTCTATTTCCAGAAGATAAAGCACTTTGCAAGAATAAGCTATTTCTGAATTGTTCTGTGTTTTTGTATTTTATTAACCTAACCCCATATTTATCTTTAGGTGTTTATGTCTAAGTGATCTAATGAAATTTTTGAGAGAACTATTGCATGTGTTTGTCTGTTGTTTTACAGCAGCATCCGTTCCTAATTAAGGTGATAGACTCAACAGGACCTACACAGGTCATAGGAATATTCATGTTGAGAAAGAACCTTCTGGGGCATTTGATAGATTTCCTGTTTTGCTTGTGTCTTCCATTAAAGGGGTGACAAAACATTATGGCTGGTAAATAACACAGATTAGAACTGAGACTAATATGCATTTTAGATATAATCTCAGACCGGCTATTCACAGAGCTTTGCGTATTTTTAAAATGGCTTATTCAGTTATGGCATTCATTATGAGGAACATGTGACCAATGAAAAGACAGGGTAGAGGAATGATTCTCCTCAGAGAAGCATGAAAAAATTATGAAACATTGTTTGACCTTAAACCTAGATTAAGCTAGTCCAGCCTGTGGAAGCTTCAATGGCTTATGGAAATCTCCTTGGTAGTTTGTGTAACTTCCTCTAAAACAAGAACTACTGAAAGCCTCCGTCCTCCATTATAACCATTGCCAGAGTTTAGAAAATAATTTATTTGTGGTTTGGCCTGCAGCCATTACTTTTCTGAACTCAAAGATTATGTCCTGAATAGCAATAATCTATGGATCTGTAAAAGCAGCTCCTACCTGAATCAGCCCAAAAAGCCGGTTTCTGAAGCTACGATTGTCCTTTATCAGAAACACCAGACATGAACTTTATAAAGATTGTGCACACGTGTGTGTGCATGTGTGCATGCATGCACATTCATGTGCATGTGTCTGTGTGTGTGTGTGTGGTGTGTACTCAAGTGTGTGGTCAGCAATGAAATGAGAATAATACTTTTAAAGACTTTCTTGTAATAAATTCTTAATTAGAAAATGTTAGAGTTCATTTTAGTCTTAGGGGAAGTGCATGGACAAAAAATAAGCCCCCAAATAGTTGAATTCTTTTAGAACTTAAATTATTCTTAAGGTTTTTGTCAAATGATTTTGTCCTTTAATTACAGGAACAATTTTTTAACATAGGGTAAATCCTGTGAGGTACCATTTAGTTCATTGTGGTAGTAATTTAAGAATTGGTACCCTGGTGACTTGACAGATTTCACACCATTTTTCAAAGTGCCAAACTTGTATTCAGACACAGAGAAAATCTAGGATATAATCTACGTGAACTTTCTTACAAAGAGACTATAATTACTGACCTACAAAACTTAGGTTTCTGTAGGTGTTATCAATGCCACCTCTCTGGGCTCTCAGGAACTGTGACCTCTTTTCACCTGAAAGCCATTATGCCTGAGCCCTGTGTTTTAGAGGGCTTCACCACCACTGTGCTAGTGCACTGGTGGGCTCTTATCTCAGCAGAGAGAGCCCCTGCCTGTGCCCCTACAGCCTTTCAAGAGGCAAAGAGAAGACACCCTGATCATGTCAGAGATTTTCAGAATTCCAAAACCTTAACACAGTCTCAGGGAAGAAAATGTATGAACAAGGCAAAACACATCAACATAGCCAAGCCTTGCAATACCACCCCCACCTCCCCACCCCGTGCCAGATCTGTGCTGTGCAGAGTCTTTTGGAGAACATATTGGCGTTGCACACAGTATGAAAATACCAGATTTGCAGAGAAAGTGTAGAGAGGGCAACAGTTGCACTTCCAGGCTTCGGGGTCTGAGCTTAAACAACTTAAAGGTGATGCTTTCAATCCTCTTTCTTCAAAGCATTATTATTCATTTCAGCTTCACTTCAGCATGTATTGTGGCATCTCCCGCATGGGTTATGGTGAGAAATAATATCAATGAGTTTAAAGGAGCCTTTTTCCTTTTGAACAAAGCATTGTTATTTAAATGTGAAATAAGTGTTTCTTGCTTCTGAATCTGTTTGTCACGTCTCAGGAGCAGAACAAGTCAGAGACTGAGACTATCAGCCCATAGAAAGATTTAACTGAATCAGATTTACTGGACGCCTTGCTTCAAAAGACGTGTTTGCAGAGCTGATGCTCCCAGAAACACACAGCAACAGTCATGCCTCCCAATGCGTGGTACCCAGTTAGTGAGCAAACGCTTTTTAAGGAGGCAACTGAGAGGAATATCTATTACAGCAGACATTTCAGTCCCATCCTTTGGGTGTTCCTAGCCCTGCTTTGGATTAGCAGATTTCCAAAAGGTTAATCTTCATGGTTACATCCTAACTGTGTGCTTGGAAATGGAGCACACACAGATCTCATGAGCTAACAGCATACGATAGATGACACATCAAGATATTCTTCCCGCGTACCTTTTCCAACTCCCATCACCTACTTAACTACAATGGGTCTTTCAGTGAACTGGCTTTTCTTCCTTATGATAAAGACAGCTGAACTTTTCAAAGGGTATTTATTTGCACATATGTTTAGGGGACCTTTATTTGTGTATTCTCTATCCAAATTCTAGTAGCCAAGAACTTGGTGATAAAAATCTCTGAGAGAAGATGTTTTGTGTATCCCATTGATGTCTAATAAAGGCTGGTGTATTGGTACATCTATAATTCCAGCACTAAGGAGGTAGAGGCAGGAAGATCTATGTATGAGGTCACCCTCCAGGTGCATTGCAATTGTCAGGCCAGCCTGAGGTACTTGAGGCATCTCAAAAAAATAAAACAAACAAACAAAAAAAAATCATCCTTGATAATGACCCAAAGGAATGGGAATAGAACGTCTGCTGTAATAAATTTACCTTCCAGTTACCTCTTTTAAAAGTGTTTGCTCACTGACTGGGTAGCATGCCTCGTGAGGCATGTCTCTTGTTGTGGGTGTCTGGGAGCCTTGGCTCTGCAAACACGTCCTTGGAGACAAGTTGTTCAGTGAGCATGATTCAGATTTGACAGTGTAATTATTCAGCTATGTGAATATGAGTGGTCTGTTTAGAAAGAACCTGTCTTATTCCTTGGGAAAACCCAGTCATTATTCAGGATTTTTTTTCTTTTGACATGGTCTCAAGCAGTAGCTCAGCTCAGGCTAGCCTCACACTTGCTTTGTACCTTGATGATGACAGCACGCGTAGATCTTCCTGTCTCTACTTTCTGAGTGCTAGGATTATGGAAATCGACCAGACTTTATTCCTTCCTAGGGAACATACCCAAGGCTTTGTACAGTCATAAGTAAGCAAACCACTAACTAGGCTACAACTCCTGCCCGTAGGATGAGTTTTGAGTAGGGGATTTGCTATTGAGCAGGATAATTCTTCGTTGTCTTTCTTCTTCTGCTATGTAGAACATTTAGTAGCATCCCTGACCACTGTTTCTCGGTGGTATTTCTTCAGTAGTACTTCTTGCCTGTCCTCTGCAGTACTACCTTCCTATTGTTACAAACAAAACTAGTAGAATTGCCATTTTTACTATGTTGATCCTCCCAATCCAAGAGCAAGGGAGATCCTTCCATTTTCTGGTATCCTCTTCAATTTCTTTCTTCAATGCTTTAAAGTTCTTGTCAAATAGATCTTTCACTTCCTTGGTTAGAGTTACCCCGAGAGCTCTCAGAATCATTCAGCTGTAAGCCTTACCAGAACCCACTGCCCTGTCATCAGGGTTTCGTGCTCAGAGCAGCTGCAGGTACAGGTAAACAAGTTTTTTTGTTCAGTTCACTCCAGCAGGCAAAGGGTCTGAGGCAGGCAAAGAAAGTTAAGGGGCCAGGGATCTGCAGCCACCAACACCAGATCTCATTACACAGATGGCTGTGAGCCACCTGTGGTTGTTGGGAATTGAACTCAGGATCTTTGGAAGAGCAGTCATAGCTCTTAACCCCTGAGCTATCTCTCCAGTTATGAAATTCTTAAGAGTAAAGAATAACTTAAAAATAAGAACCTAATAACAATAATAAGCATTTGCAATGCATGTTCAAGAAGAGGAAAACAGACTTCATTTAGGAATACTACAATAGGTGCAAAGACTGAATCAAGGGAGTTAGTTTTATGGTAGGAGGGATAAATTGGGCTTAACTCTGAACACAGTAAGGAAGGGAGGCATTCAGAGCAAAGGGAGTAATGGAGAGAGCATGGACAGGAAATTCCTGAGAGGAAGCCCAGGGAAAAGTGGGGATTCTGACCGAATGTATGGGGTTCTTGCTGAGCAGAGGCCAAGATAACCAGGGTGATCAGTTATAGAAGGCGTCATGCCTTCTCAGTTGAGTGATGAAAAGGCCAATACTGGACCCCAGTGTCCAGTTAAACAGAAAAGTCTGGGTGAGTTTGGACAAGAACAATTCTGTCCTTGACTTAACTCTTCCAATTTCTC